ACAGTGTAAAAGCAACGAACGTAATGTTCAAAGCTCCGAACGTAATGTAAAAAGCACCGAACGTAATGTAAAAAGCACCGAACGTAATGTAAAAGCACCGAACGTAATGTTAAAAGGGCCGAATAACAAATGCGCCGAACGGAAAAGAGCCACCAAAGGCAGTAACGGCGTTCCATACTCCCAAACCACCAACTCCTCTCGTTATCTTTGCGAACTATTGAGGGCGCAGTATGGCTCTGCTCCATTTTTAGCTTTAGTAGAAGACCTACTCAAGAAAAAGTCTATTTGAACTGTTTTCCAAAGGTACAATGTATTTCTTGTTGTTAATAACATACACGTGTGTTTCTAATCTAATGTTATATATGTTTTTCGAATAAAACCAATTTTTTATGTTAGATGTGTGTCAATTTACTTCTAGGCTCTAGCCTAGGATTAGGCCTAGGCCTAGTCCATCATAAAAGAGAGAACTGCACCCCGTGGTACAGGACAGGGAGCACCACTGCTGGCAGTGTTAGGCTTTAGTAGGCTAGACCGACAACAGTAGCCCCTGCCTACAGATCTCAGATCTTAGAATGGGTAATTGGACATTGCTGGAGATGTCACTACTGACACCATTCTGATCTTTAATGATCAATAACCAATCAATCAAAGTAATATTGTTTGCACACAAAAAGCGTAGAATAGAATGTCCTCTAGCTAGGGGCTAGGCTAGGACTGTACACTACATCATTAGGCATGTTTTGTTGACCTCATGTAGAATTGAATCTAAGGTTCTGACTATAAAGTTGACTTATTAATATTAGGCTCCTACTTCAGTCTACAGAATTACTAACACTAGGCCTTTTGAATAATGTCCATTCATTGTGATTATTATCTACAGATGGCAAGTTTATGCAAGTTACTTCACCCACCTCATCAGTTGTTAACCAATGCTGTACAAAAAGTTGGTTTTCGTAGCTCACAAGCATTAAGGTACAGTAACTGAATAATTACTATTAATATTGAAATGTGGCACTTATGTACAATCAAACTAAATATTTTTAAAAAAAAATGATCTGATTCTTTTTTCAGCACAAGTAATCCACTTTCCGCTATCATTCTTCTGTCACGGTTGCGAGTTGTTGACAATTCTACACTCGGAGCATCCGCAGTCCACAAACCACCACGGTGCATCCATGTGTACAATAAAAAAGCTGTAGGAAAAGTTGGCGATAAAATTCTTGTTGCTATCAAAGGACAGAAAAAGAAAGCGCTGATTGTAGGAGTTAAAATGCCTGGGAAAAACATGACACCTAGATTTGATACAAACAATATTGTTTTATTAGAAGAAAGTGGAAATCCAACAGGAACAAGGATACGTGTTCCTATTCCTTCATATCTTAGAGGACGAAAAGATTTATCGAAAGTATTTGCAGTTGCTTCAACGTTCGTTTAAGATGATAAAATGTTGTTCTACCCAACTGACATTTTAATTGTTACCTCATAAAAAGGAGAAAATATCACTTGGTATGGTAAATGTGGTGAAGAGAGGGTTTTTTTTATTCAATTAAGCAAAATCAGAGTCAACCACTTTGGTTACTACTGTATTTTTTGTCCAAACATGTTTAACCAATAAAATGCTTTTTTTACCATATCAAATGGCTGAAAGTTTATTTCTGGACTTGGGACCAAGGAGTCATAGTTCACCACTGCTGACAACTACTTACAGGATAAAAGTCATGCTCTGCAGACAAAGTCTATGAGGCTCAGCGAGTGGAATTATTATAGTTATGACAAAAATCATGATTTCACTTGAATTGAACCCATGACCAAGAGGTGGCACCAGCAAGTGGGCCAAATGGGCCCTGGCTTAGCAGCTGTTGGGAGCTACCGTAAAATCTGTCAGGGAAGATGATACATGGTGGGGCTGGGTGTGGACTCTGTCTGGAAAAAGCTGGTGCCCCCCTCAGGACTGAGGTTAGAGGTCAAGCTACAGCTCCACTCAAGCTTTAACTTTAGTGAAATTTTCAATCAGAAAAATGAAGTGAAACAAAACTCAATTCTATTCAGCTTCATCAGTTTATTTCGCAGCTTATGTAGATATGCAGAATTAAGTCACATGATATTACAGATTTATAATTTCCCATTAGAAATTGTTTCGGCACTTGCATTGTACTCATACAACAAGAATAGGCCTCTTATAATTAATACCATATATGACAATCAATACCATGCATGCATATTTGCCAAAAATGTATCATAGCATTATTAAAATATGTATTCAACATCGTACATCATCAAAACCAGATTGTCACCACCAATGTGGCAGAGCCAAGCCGAAGGAGGGATAAGTTTAAATTTTCCAAATTGAGTTTTGTACATATTATGAAACTAGACATTATTAATATTACCTTCAAAATGCAAAAAAAAAAAATCACTTTGATATAATAGTTTATGGCGAAGTTATGGGCAATCAAAGTTAGGATACTTGGTAAGTGTATTTTGAGAAAACTGGCTTTGAAAATGACCAATTTCACATTTGTGCATTTATTGGAAAACTGCCTATGCGACTTATCTCTCCTTTGGCTTGGCTCTGCCACAAATACCATCTGGTTGTGAAACTTATCTTCATCTTATGTTTAATTGACACCTTCACTAAGAGTTAAGCCAGGTCTTCTGGTATCATTAACATCATGTCACACACAATTACATTTTAAAAACTTATAAAATATTTACTACTTGTTGGTTTATCTGTATTACAGTATATTAAACAGATAATTCAAACAAATTTGATACTTACTGGAAGTAAACAATATTTTTAGGAAAATGATCAGATAAGGAAAATGTACTTAAAACTTCTAAAATTTTGTACAAATTCCAAAGTTCCTTATTTATGGTATACGTTCAATCATTCTACATTGTTAAAAAAAATATCAACCTGGTAAACTAACTCATTAATCCTAATTAATGAACCAGGAAATTTGAACTTGACTCTAGAGACCCACAGCATCCACAGTGCAGCACCACCCCTAGTGGTGGACTGCGCAGTAAACAGGGAGAAAACACTGCTCTTTTTAAAATAGTGTACTGTATGTGTTACTTATTACATACATGGGACATACACAGAATCAACAACTTCTAAATGTATTTCACAGTTTCAAACATTAGACATGAAGTAAGGAAGACATTAAGCCAAGCAACATTATCAACATAATTTTTGATCAAAAGAGTTTTGTCTGAATCATGATTCACAGTACAGTATATTAACAGATCCAGGGGATGGAGTGAGTGCCCCTTTCACCACCCCACCTAATCCTAGCATCAGTAAAAAAAATCTTCAACAAAGTGTCACTTAGATAAAACATGAAACTACGCAGCTTCTCTTGGATCATAAGTCTTTGGTTGGCACTTTCAGTACCCCTCCCCTTTACCCCAAAATCACCCTTGATCTTCCCCTAAAGTAACACATTGCTCTATTTAATCAGTATGATCAAAGGTTCTTACGACAACAGAGATTCTTTCATACTTCTGTAGTGCCCATGTGAAAAATATACACAGTAAAAAGACAAGTCCTATAATGTAAGTAGACATGGTATATCGCATAAAAAATTGAAACGAAAACAAATCAAACAATAATTATAAATTGAAAAAAGGATTGCCACATATGCTAAAGGAACAATAAATAATCAGCTACCACATATCCAGTAGAAATATGTGTATACAAAGAATATGCAAATGTAGGTGGGACAAATTAGCATGAAATAAGATCACATGTTAATTAAGCAGACTTCATTACAGTATATGACAATTTAAAAAAGGTGGGAATAAGAGGAAGATATTTAGGATTATATTTAAATTATACAAAAATATTACACAAATGTTAACGAAAGACACTTAATATATATACACCTTGGTGAAAAGACTTAAACACATTGCAAACCGGGTTCTAAATTCTATTGAGGTAATATATATACTGTTTATATTTATACATACTATCATTGAAGTGGGAGTTTCTAAATTAAAACAAACTGTGCACAAATACAGGATACAAGTCTATGGCTTTTGTGCATTGGATACATAAATTTGCATAACAGGTAGCATGCAACCGCAACACTTAAGGACCTGCTGTATGACCTCCAAGTTGCACTTTAAATTAAAATATTCTTAAAGTTTGGCACTGCACTCCATTGCACTTCTTTATCTACAAACTTAAAGCCAGCCACATACAAGAGTTATGCGCTTAAGCCAACTGACACGAATGACATTTGACGCAAGTATTTGCTCTCGTATGCAGCAGGCATTGGCATCATGATCAATTTCAGTATATTCAACCTTCTTTGCTTCTTGAAATTAAACATCCAAACCTACCAACCATCTGATTGGCTGGTTATGGTATGCACTTATGAGAGAGGCAAGTTATAAAAAAAACAAAAAAAACACCTATATTACTGTATGGCTGACCTCAGCTAATATTCTCCATTTTTTCTGATACCCCCTCCCCATCTTCCTTATAACCTCCCTATTTTTCATATTCTCCTACCACCTTATCTCAGATTATCCAAAAACCAATGCCAAGACTCTTTTTCTATACAACGCACGACATTACTTATTTCAGTTTTTTTACAATGCATAGAAAACAATTATTCACAGGGCTAAAAATGTCTATAAAAATCAATGTAACATTAGTCATCTATCATTAAGCTTTTCCTTGGGTTTAAAGCTAATGACTTATGACCCCTTATCTCTTTAAAAATGGTTAAAGCCACATGCAGATGACTGAACACCCCCCCCCCATCTTCTTTAAAATTTACTTATATAAAATGCTGTCAGTTTATAGACTCCTTGCTTATTAATCATGCATCCAGTAACATGCAAATACTTCTACAAATATGCTTACTGACTAAAATAATTTTAATTGGTTGATAGCTTGGATGGATCATTTAATCAACCAATTATACGTCCTTATCTATTACCTTTTCTTTACATCTAATTTGAATTTTTTTTAAATTCATATCATATCAATTTTATATCTAAACTTTACAGGTTTATTTAATAACCGTGATGGATAATGCATCGTTGCTTTAGCGTTGTTCTTGATACACAAACAGAGACGTGTAAATGCAGAGCCACCTTCAACCAAAAATTACCGCCATATTATAAAGAAATTATGAACGCATAGAGGCCTTGTTGGTACGATGTGCTAATTAAAACATATAGCTTACTATTAGATTAATAGATGAGCGATAGCTGGACACATCATCAAAAATACATATCATCGTCATCTTCATTGTTGTTGTCGTGTGTGTAAGCTGATGCCGAGATGGATCTTGAAGCTAGTTTTGGCTTTGAACTAGATCCTTGTTTGTATGTTTTTGTGGACGTGTGCGGTGATGATGTACTACTAAAGTCAATTACTTTGTTGATTTCTGAAAGAAAATAGAGAAAATATTATAATAATACAAACACAGTAGGTAAAGTTGGACACATTAAAAGGGGTTGGCTGTAGTGTTAAAACAGTATTAGTATACCTCATACAAATTAGGTAATATAATTTTACTGGCCAATTCCACTCAGTAAGGTGTGCAGTAGTTTCTGATTTAGGTACACGCAGTGAAAAAAGTACTACCCAAAATTAACTAACACATCCCTGCCCACATGAACCGTATGCAAGCTTTGTAATTTCCCCATCACAGATCGAAATGCCTAATGTATTCAGACAGTAAATTTGCTGTTTAATATTTATAAGGTATAGTAAAGCACATACAGTAGTACCAATCATCTAAAACCTCAGGAAGTAGAACTCACTATTTCACACCAAACCATGTTGTATTTGTATACTACAATATATATAATACAAAAAAGTCCTTAAATAGGAATGTCCCAAAAAAGGGGTTTTACTATAACTAATTATGATTCAGCTATAGTTATCAGATCTCATGCTCACTTACCTGTTAGATGCTTCTCAACTTGACGTAAGTTGTGAAGGATTGAAGCAATTTCTTGATTGCCGGCTTTAAGGAGAGGAGGAGCACAACTAGACTGCATATAGTCATTTGAACTATGAGCCTTGTTGGCTTTTCTATTAAGACAAAAGAAAACCCAGAAAATTTAGAACACCAATACAAAAACAAACTTTTTATCATTTCAATAATAAACAACATACAAAAACATGGATATCTAAACACACTTAGATACAGTTGGCCCTATACAGAAAAACTAAAAATGAATAATAATGGTAAAAATATTATTAAACTTGTTCTAAAATACAGTACCCTACCAATTACTACCCTAGCCATATTTTGCTTACTTACGAATTCCTGCTAATTATCACAAGTGTAAATGAGGAGTATCGCAAGAACGAAAATGATCCCCAGGGGCGGATCCACGGATGTCCAAAGGGGGGGGGGCCCAAAAGTGGGAGTGATGGAGACAAAACTACCCTAGAGGGTTGGGGGACATACCCCTGCAAAATTTTTGTTTTCTAGATGCCTGAAAATTATCTCTGAGGCGTTTTGGGCGATCAATTATTTGTTTTTCTTTCTTACTTTTGTTTTTGACTTTCTGCCCGGCCCTCTCTTAAATCCGCCCCTGATCCCAGACAAGCATTGTAAGTGAAATTGAGGATTTTAAAATAACAATGGATGCAAGTACAAAATTCAAATTGCAAGCCTTGACCAGTGGTTTCCACTAATGATTGCAAGCATAAAAAGAGGACATAGAGAGGGCAGCACCATATGTGTAAACAGATGTTAGTTTTATACAAACAATTCTTAATTACCTTATTTTTGTTGCAATGTCCTCAGAGGCAGATTTCAGTTTGTGAGAGAGATGACTGACTGATGCTAGCAACAGGTTGTCAAATGGCTAGGCAGAAAAACAGAACAAAAAGTGAATTTTACATTGATCATTTGGGAGACTCCTTTTAATACAGTAATTTCCATGTACTACGTATTATCCTGGACAATTGACATTGACAGGCTTTGTTGCCCCGCCAACAATACTGTATTTTTAACAAAACTTGAAATATATAAATATTTAAAAATGGCTAAAAACTCACTGGACACCTACATCCTTAAACCTTTCACTTAAACCCACTCTCCTTGGCAGGAACATCCCGGATCAGTCCTTAATAGAATTACATTTTTTGTCATGGCAGTCAACATGAAGCGTAGAGTAACCACAAGTGTAATAACAGCATACAGTAAGTGAATGCAAGAATAAAGTGTCAATACTTACTTCCATTTTGGACAACTTCTTACTTCTACCCACCAAGTCTGGGCTTATGATCACTTGTGATTGTTTGGCAGACATTCTAATGTTATCACCTGTAATGAAAGAGTAATGTTTTACAAATATTTCATTTCATTCTTATTTAACAGCAAGTAATTCAACACTCACAGAATGGAAGAAACACCTATTATTTATGGACCCTTATCGTTCACATAGTAAATATACTTTTCAAGGAGTGATGTTTTGCCCTAAATGACGTGTTAACGTACCAAATACTCAGTACGTTCCTAAATACTTGCCAAAAAAAAAGTGATTTGCGTGGGAATGGAACCCACAATCACTAGATAACTAGCCTGGTGTCACAACCACTTTAATACCGGTCTTGCACTTACAAAATAGTGTTGAATCCGATCTGCAGTATTAAATATATTTTTCAACTTACCAAATTCTAATGAGCCTGGGCGGTAGAGTTTTCCTGGTTTGCATGGCGGTGGCATGGACTTTTTCTCCGTCCTTCTATTACATGTTGATGACACATTAACACTATTTTCAGCAAATATCTCATCTAACATTTTCTAAGAACAAAAGAAAAATCAAAATTATTCACTCATGCATCATATGGAAGTTATCAGGAGTGAATTGCAATACATTTTTTGGTGACAAATTAATAGAATCTTTTGATTTAATCAGTAAGTTTTATCACTTAAATTTTATATTTGATCTTTTCAAAAATATGGGTAGAATATGAAATATATTAAAGGTTTGCCTAAATGAATTAATATTTGATATTAAGATGTCTGTAGTATATTCAGGGTGGTTTACTGACTGACCACAGGCCCAAGCCTGTCCATTTTATCATAATCTTCCCAATGCTCCCTCTTCTACATTCCCACTCTCAGCATTTTTTCTTTCTCTACTCTCTTTTCCCCCCTCTCTCTCTCCTGCTCCTAAATTTCCTCTTTTCTCATTCTCTTGGTCATTGGTGTCATTAAAAGATTTAAGTTTACAACAACAGCAGTTTCCAGAGAAAGCTAACTGGAAACTGCAGTTACACAATTCAACAAATGTGTCAACAAAAAGACTTTACAGAAGTATATAAGTTATACTACAAACACAGTTAACATCATGCAGGTTTGACTACAAGTTAAGAAATACAATTCAGACAAAAAAAGACAAGCAAAACCAACAAGCAACTCATACAAAACTAAAATTTGCACTTATAATGTTGTATAGGGATGTAAAAGTTTTAACGATTACATGTTCATAACACGCAAACTAGGAGCTTAAAATATGAGATGTAATTGAAAATGCAATAAAAAGGACAAAATTTATCTATGCATTTGAGCAGCTTTAGCTCATTTGGCTAAACTGCTGGTAGCCACTGTGTGTGCACTCAACCATGGAGATTCTTGGTCTCTGGTTCAATTCCAATAGCTGCTCTCCTTGTGTTTTTGATAAGGGCTTGAATACAAGTTATGATATCGCACCCTCTTTCGGATTAGAGGTTTAAGCCGTTGGTCCCGTGTGCAATATGGCCCATGTGCATATTAAAAAACAAAGTACACTCTTCAGAAAAGAATACACAGTTGTCTCCTGGTATTAGGCCCAATTCACCACCAGAAGGACACCATTGGAAACAAGTCTTTGGACTAAAGTCCAAGTCTTTCACACCAAAAATACTGCTAGTTTATCCTGTAAACTACAAATACTGTATCATGAATTTCTATGACTGTCACCTCTATTGGTGCTGTAATAAGAGAGACTGTAGAAAATAGCACCAACATAAACTGTAGTACTTATTTCAGTATAGCTCTGCTTTGTATTATTTCATTCCTATTATTTTTATTACTATTATTGTTAATAGTATTATGTTATTTGCATTTATTATTACTACTCTTGTTACTGCAATAATCATAATCAATCTAATCATTATCTACTTAGCTTTTTTTTCATATCACTGCTTATCATTAGGCCTATAATTGTGATAATTATCATTATGATCATTATAAAATCAATATTATTATTCACATCATTATCATTATATTTTTTTAAGTTAGTGGAGAGATTTGTCTGTTAATTTTTTTCTGCCTTTTAAATATTTCAATTAAACACCAACCTAAAGTTTTAACTGATGAATCTAACTATTGATATACTGTATCATAAAAACAATATGGGGAACAAGATGTTATTTCATGCTGAAGCCATGCGGATTACATGATATATTTAGCCTAGCACTTACCACGTAATAGAAGAGCAGCTAGGAGAAAGAAGATGACAAAACATGAATGAAGAATGCATGGAAGAAAGAAGAAGAACTTAAGATCACAAGCAATGAAGTTATTACAAATATTACATCATTACTGGTATATTATACATGAAATCATTAGTGATGCTCATTATAATGAATAGAAGAATATGATAAAATTAAAAGGAATTAAATTTGGAAGACTTAAAAATTATTTTTGTTTAATGTAATCTTTTTTTATTAAAGCCTGATGGTATCAGAGATAAGTTGTCTCCTCATTTGCTATGTATAAAAATCAAATTTCGTGAAGATAAATAAGTTATTACTGCTTTTGATGTTACAAATACCTTATAAGAATGCAAACATTAACAAAAAAAAATTAAAAAAATGTTTATGGAATGGTTAATACCTCTATGGTTTAAATGATAATCTTACAATCAATGTCCGTAATAAGTAATATTAATATGAAATGCAATGTGAAGAAAAACAAAACTACAAAGATCAGCTATTTGATTAACCTACAGTACTGGAGGCATAAGCTATTTAAATAATAATAATAATAAGATCTTTCTTTTACAATGGAAGCACGTTCACCAAGGAGGTGTTCTTCCACGAGGCCGTAATTTTTTTTTTTTTTTTTCATTCATAGTACTTGTCTTCACCTCGAACAGCTGGAGTAAAGTAAAAAGGCCTAGGGCCTCGGCCTATTCTAGCCCCACAGGGCTACCTACCTTAATGTCCTAGTTAAAAAAGTTAATTAAGGTGCCTGAACAACCAAAGAAATCATTTGTTTCTTTTAATAAATTACAAATAAGTCACTATACAAGCATGGACAATTTGTCTACCATATTGGTTCCAACATATTTTGGCTAGTATAGTATCTCAATCAACATGAGGTGAAACCAGACTGTTTTCCAGCTAAAAGGTACATACTGGCATAACAACAAAATAGAAAAAAATAAGGCTCTGTCCACACCATTAAATTATATGTGACAAGTGACATAACAATAAAATAGACAAAAAATAAGCCTCTGTCCACACTATCAAATTATATGTGAAAAGTGACATAACAATAAAATAGACAAAATATAAGGCTCTGTTCACACCATGAAATTATATGACAAGTGACATAACAATAAAATAGACAAATAATAAGGCTCTGTTCACACCATGAAATTATATGTGACAAGTGACATAACAATAAAATAGACAAAAAATAAGGCTCTGTTCACACCATGAAATTATATGTGACAAGTGACATAACAATAAAATAGACAAAAAATAAGGCTCTGTTCACACCATGAAATTATATGTGACAAGTGACATAATAAAACAGACAAAAAATAAGGATCTGTCCACACTATCAAATTAAATGTGATAAGTATATAATTGCTTATATATGGGCATGGTGATGCCATAACACACTCATAGGTAAATCACAGATTTTGTTACATAAATCTTGGTAGTGTGGACAGAGCTTAAGGGGAGGTTGTAGACTCACCTCATCCTTGGCCACTTGTTCAGTTTCTTGGGCTTCACCATCTCCTTCTCCTCTTGACAAACGGTCATCAGTGGTTCCATTTCCATTACAATCAATAACATCATCAATTGAAGTCTCAAAGTACTGCCTTTGTTCAACCTCCAACTGCGACCTATTACCAACGGATGCCCTCCTCCTTCTAGAGTCATTTTTCAGGTCGTTCACCTGTGACTTTTGTTGTTTTCGAGTGTTCACAGATTTTATAATAATCCATATCATAATTGCTTTGGTCTGTTTTAATTGGCTGTGTGACTTTCTGAATTACTCTACACAAACACAGCAACTGTTCGCCAGCAGATAAATTCTGTGTCTACAATATTATGGTAATGGCAATAGCAATAATATACACATAAATATTGCAAATGAAAACAATGATGCTATTTAATGGCAATAGCAATAATATAGACATAAATATTGCCAATGAAAACAATTATGCTATTTAATGGCAATAGCAATAATATAGACATAAATATTGCCAATGAAAACAATGATGCTATTTAAACTAATATGAAGAATGACAATACCATTAATATGAATGTTAATGACAAATAATTATATGATTAATAAGATTATATGACATTATGAAATAATAATATAATACAAATAATAATATAATGCAAATAATATGGTAGTAAGAATTAAAAATAACAGTAATTAAAAAATTCTCATAGGTTATAAGATATTATGAATTCATGTAGTGTTGATCTCACCTTGAATTTGAACAGAAGTTATGCAGAAAGTTGTTAACATTTCTACCTGGTTGGACTCTATGGAATGTATGAAATGATAGCAAAAATGAAGATTAGATGCCCGACAAGACACCATGTGATGCGAAAGCCAATGCAGATAATGGAGCAATCATGCAATGCGATTAGTTGATTACGTGTGAGCCAACAAATTAATATGAATGCCAATCACTCATTACAGGATCTACAGATTAGATACCTAGTCCTCTAAATCCCATTATGAGCCTTCTAACATTCTAAATGATTTGAACCCAGAATTCTTGGATTAGAAGGCAAGCATCTCTACCAACAAGCTAAAACTTCACATTATATTACAAGGGTACAGTATATATATCACATCATATATATATTTTTTTTCAATATTTTGCAAGACAAATATGTAATATTAATGCATTGCAATAGATATAAAATAGATAACAAAATTAATATACCCAATAGCAAGCCAGGCTCAAATCAAAACTTTTGTCAATTACCTTTACCTTTTGAGCTGGCAGTCGTCTTCACAAGGTCGGGCGCATTCGAGGGCAATTGGTGGACATTGCTACTAGCATTTGAGGCCCACTTTGATATCCAGAGAGGGGTACCAGACTCAGCGGGACTGTTATTCTATTGAATGAAATCAAATAATCGTTTCAAAATATTAAATATTCTTCTGAATTAATAACTTTACAAAAGGTAATAAATCTAATGTTTTCAAGGACAAGTTCTTACTTGATGGTGGATTATAGTCTGCTGAATTCCATCTTCATCTTCCATGTCATCGACATCATTATCGGTGTCATCACCACTATTTTTGTCCAAGAGGTGATCCCTGCCATGAACCAGATGATCATCATCAATCTCAGCAACACCAAAAACATCATCAATCTGTTCACGTGCCCTTTTAAGATCCATCGACGGATTCTCGCTCTCAATAGTGTACGTTCCAGTGTCGCTCAAATGATCCTCATCTATATGCAGATGATTCTCGTTTTCAGGTCGCAAATCATCAGAGCTCTTGCTTAAAGGAGGCCGCCTTGTGTACCCGGGTACACTAAGATGGGAGGGCGATGCTGATGTCCTGCTCGTCACTTCTTTCTTGCTGTTGCTATGATACGCAGCTTTTGTTTTCTCTGTGGTTGGACTGGCTACTTCATTTGATTTTTTCTTGGATGTAAAATCTGAAAAATAAGTTGTTTGGCTTAATAAAAATCAAATTGAAATGATTATAAAATAAAAATGCAACATTAATACATTGAACTGCAATATGAAAAATGTGATAATATAAAATTAAATTGAGAAATCTTGCTTACCTAAGTGCAGATCTGTGGGTGGTTTTGATCCTCTTCTTTTAGGAGCGGGAGAAACAATCTCGGACTGTAAACATAAAAACATATATATGTCATATATTTTTCTCACGATGAAATTACATTCCCTTAAAAAAAATCAATTCAGTTCACATTCTTATACCATTTGAGATCTAATCTAAAATAAATTAATAATCAAAAAAAAAAACCAATTCAACGTTTACCTGTTTTCGTTCAGCTTTTAACTCTTCAACTATTTTAACACTCTCATTTATTTTAGTCTTTACCGCTGAAGGCATAAACGCACTAAGACTTTCATTCAATGAAAGCTTAGGTGCTGTCTCTTTGGTGGTGCCAAATTCTATGGTGAAGCCGACATGGTGATCACTGGTGGACGTCATTGTGACCTCGGTATCTTCAGGAGTTGGTGGCCTTTTCACTGGGACTGTAGGCTTCAGGTCAGTGGGACGTTTTGTCATCGTTTGGGAGCTGGCAAGAGGACTAGTTGGAGACTTGAGTGAAGATGGTGATTTGGCTGAGGTTGGTGATTTCAATATTTTCTCTGGAAATTTGATTTCAAACAATATCTTTACATCTGGGTTATTTATCATTTTACAAATTGTATTTGGCTTTTCAATTTAATTAATAAAGATAAAAAAAATATAAATGGAATGATTGAGTGATTGATAATGATTTACATATAAGGATGATAGTTATAAATTTTATTATATTAATATTTTGAATTAAAAAAAATCAAGTGATTTTGATAGGAATCGAACCCACAACCTCTAGAGTTACTAGACTGGTGTCGTTCCAATATACCACCTGACTAACTCTACTGGCTAATACTTGATTCAGTGTAAAATATCAGATACTACTCCAATATAAATAAAAGTAAATGCTATAACCAGATTTTTAGGTCCAGATAAAAAATAAACACATATCCTGCTGAATAAACACATATCCTGCTGATGTTACTTATATTTTGGTGTACACTTGAGACCTTAGTTTTATCAATAAAAATTGAACTATCATAAAATACACATTTATCAATTAGAATTTTTAATAATAAATTTAGATAAAACAAACAAAACTATACATTACTATATATAATACATTGACTATCTGAAATACCGCATTCTACAATAGTGAATGCAATCCACTTTAAATTATAACGCCAACTCAAAGGATAAATAAAAGACTGACTTCTACTAACCCTTATCGTTCTTGCCAAATGTACCTGTTCTAGGCCGAACACCCGGATCACCCTCTAGATCCTTCTCACCCCACCAATCCGGTAGACCATACAATGGAGATCCCCTTGCAGCTGTAGAGAGATGCAAAGATAGACTTAGTGTGTGTGTTAAAGGAAGTCCCCTTAGGATATTCTTAATTAAACATATCCTCTAATTGAACTACTGTACATGAATGATTCGTACACATTCACTTGCACTTGACAACAATTAATTATTTACTGCTCATGATGAATCAAGCTGTGTAATTTTACCAGTGGCATATCTTAAGAGTCTTGATGGGAGCATGAAGGTTAAGTAAGCGGCTTAATGATTAAGTGGGGGCACTAGCTCGAAAATAAAATGACATGAGGTGATTTTTATCTACTTGAGGTTGATTTTTTTGCTTCAAACATTTTCAATGGGGGGGTGGGGGTGCCAGGTTTTTTTTGGGGAGGGCGAAAGTGTGCAACCCCTGGACTCTCCCCTTGATACCCCACTGACTTTACTGCTACTTAATATTCATAAATTGTTTTTCTTATTTAAGCAGTTTGTTTACAGCTTGTAAACAATCCCGTTGAACATGTGATTCACATTTTTTTAGTTTATATTTTGCTTAATTTGCTTTAAGGTATTGTTGTAAACTAAATATCAAAAATAGAAATCTTACGTGAAATAACTTGTATGGTTCTACCTACTGAGGGCACACTTCCATTTGTCATCTCCTCCTGTTTTAGACTATTTAGGATATCCCTGTAATACTTAGTTTTACTCTCCTGCAAAGTTGAAAGCAAAACCATAAATTGCATATTACATACAGTTTAATAAGAATAATAAGTTAAACTTGCCTATGTCGACTTTGCCTAACTCGAATAATTTCTGAGTTGATTTTACTTTAAATGCCAAATAGTTGTGCTTTCCATTAATTAACAATCTGTAATTCAAACTTTATCTACAGGTATGACAAACAATTTTTCAATGTCATTTTGGATTCAAAAGGCAAGTTCAACAACTATAAAGAATTTGTTTTAAATCACAAATTAGATACAGATGAGACTATAACGACAAGATTAATGTTATGATCAAACAAATAAGGTGTAAAGTTACACCAGGGATTGGGAGTTTAAAACTCGCTGGCCCTAGAAAATATAGCTTGCCACACTTCAGAAAATTTTTCTTGCCAGAGAAAAGATAAATCTGGCAGGTTCATATTTAAAATTCTCAAACACCATTTCTTATCACTCAAGTCTTATAGCCTACAACAAACTGAAAATCTTTACATTCTTATTAATAGTTAGTAACACATAACATGAATTAAATGTCAGAGCCACAGATATTAACATGTGGACTGCTGCAGTGGAATGACAGCGGCGTAACAGCTCTCCCTGGCTAAAGCCAGGGTCGCAGACTATAAAGGGCCCTGGGATATTCATCAGCACGAGGCATTTAAATTACCATTATTCATCAAGCAACACACCATTTACATAACCTAGTCATGCAGGTGCATGCATGCAGGTGTAAGATGTGTCCATGCAGGCTGATGGATATAAGGACATGTATAGTATACCTGGGATAAACACTTGATAAAGTATACAGGCAAATAAGCAGGGACAAGTATATACTGTAATTGAGTTTAAATACGCTTTTGCAGACACTCAATGTGGGTGTACCTAATACATATGTGAACTATTATATGTGTACACCATTGTACATGTATATGTGCATCAATGATCATTTCAGATGACCATTATAATAATCTGCACCTGTAACAGATGTCTGTACCTGTACAGGTGTAAGACCATTATACAAACATGTGCAGACATACTGTATGACATCTTTGTATTGTGTACATGTGCATGATAATGACATTAATTTGTAAAACTCTCTATTTACAGTAATAATTTCATCATTTAAGGAAATGTAATAATATAGAATAATTAAACCTACAATATATACAGTACAGTAATATGCGAGTTAAGCAACACTGTTTATAAAATTTCATTGAATTCATTAAACATTATGAATAGTGTTGGTAAACACAGAATGAAGAACAAAAATTACTGGTACATTAGCAGTATACTGAGTTCCATACTTAAAGGTACTGTACATGCAGTAAATGCATTATCAAGCAAATACTGGTAGCTAATAAAAAAACAAAGTTAACAAAACAGAAGAATTATTAAGACAGTACAACAAGGTCATCTCGCAATGTTTATGTAGTACTCTGTCTACGAGGAAGAATATTTAGGTTTTCGAGAAGTGACAATTGTTTCAAGGAAAAACCAAAAATGAAAAAAATAAAAGAAAAAA